GGTGATTACACAGAGCCAAGCCATTGAACTAAACGCACAAAGTCGAGGCCCTCTTCCGCTGAGTCATCACACAAGTACACCACCGAGTTATCTCCTCTCTCTCTCTCTCTCTCTCTCTTCTCTATATTCCCCTCTCACAAAAGCCCTAGAGCACTGAGCATCTCCATCGTCCTCACACGGAAACCCCCTCTTTCCCAAATTGGTTTGTGCAAAACCCCATAATAGGGATGATAGAGAAGGTTGAGTAATGTTTATTGATTACGTCTAGTGATGCCCCATGGTGGAGTGAGCAGTGATGGACAGTGGAGGAAGACAAAGGGGTGAAAGAAGGGGGAGGCAAAGGGCAAAGAGAGAGTGCAGATGGTGGGAGGTGGGGCAAGAGAGGCGACGAACACCGACAGTTATTAGAGATGAGAGAGATAAGCGAGAGAAAGGTTAATGATAGATTAGGATAATCTACCGTATATATACACATCTATATATAATTGTGTGTGGTTAATAAATAAACTATTAAATAAATAAATAAGTAAAATATTTAATTTTATTTTGTTTTAAAGGAGAAAATTTGACATTTAATAAACGTTTTTTGCATGACATCAGCTAAATTGTTAGTTCTTTGACTGTTCTTTAACGGAATGGGTTAAAATTGTTACATGAATTTAATATTAGGAGAGGTCATTGTAATTATGTTTAAATTATAGAACTTATGGTAATTTTATCAAACCTCGAGAGAGGTCACTGCAATTTACCCAAAAGTTTTAGGAAAGAAAGATAAGGTTGTTCTCTTTCTTTTTAAAGTTTCTGCCTTAACTCTCTTTCTCTACTTTTTTTGGGATCTCTTTCTACATCTCCATATGAACATCTGATAGCATCCTTGAAGACCCAGTATACAAGTAGATACGAGCCAAGAGGTTCATAAATTGTTATTATCTCAACACCAATTGTGTCCCAAAGGGTAATCTTGTTTCCAAGTGCTGCCTGGCACGCATTCTAGCCAGTTGTTGCGTGTCAGGATCTTCAGGTGCCCATTTATTTGGATGGCTGGGATCAATGATTATCTCCTGAAGTGACACAGTACTGCCAAGTATGTATGAGGCAATCTGCAGATCAGCTTTGCATCCAATAAATCCATTCAATTCAAGCACCTTGAGGCTTTTATGTAGATGTTTAGGCCTTCGTATCTTCGTTTCTTTTGTGGAGTCCTTGAAGTCCCAAAACTGCAAAAGAGAAAATATAATCCAAATAAAGTTCCAGACAACATATGCTCGAGTCAAGCATGGGTCTGCACACACCCAAATGTATATTAGCAATTCCTAAGGGTTTTAGGAATCAAATTTTTTGTCTCCAAAAATAAAAATGAAATAAATCTAACAAAAAAACCATTAAAAAAAGTCAATCATACACATAATGCAAAAAATGACATACCCAGAACACAGTTTGGCCATTCCCATTCTGCTATTAATCATCTAACAAGAAGTTATGTAATATTTTAAATAAATTACACTGACCTCCCATGAGATTTAGAGAAAATACAATAAGCTCCATAATTTTGTTATACTTACACTAACCTCCCCTCTACTAATAGTAATATAAACAAAGTTTAGCAGAAGTAATGAAATTACTTTTTTACCCTCAATTACATTTGTCAAATATAACATTATTGTCAATCTACTATATTGCCTTTTTCATTAATTGAGAAATTACTTAATCACCATCCCTCAATCTTGTATTGTTAACTACAAACATACATAGAAGAAAGAGATAAAAATCAGAGCAGCCTATGACCTCCATACTACCACCACCACCCCAACTCCTACTGTCACCACTAGCAGTTTCTGCTCCTTTCTCATCTACTTCACTGCAACACCACAATCCATTCTTCTTCTCCAAATTTCGCACACAACCACCACCACCACCACTGCACACCCCACCACTCTTGACCCCCTCCAATGCTACAACCATTGCACCAACATGGCCAGCTACCACCCTCTACAATCCTTCATCATTCAACCTCCAAGAATAAAACAAAAAGTTGATTCAAACTAAATGAAATTCAATACAAGAACTTGACAGAAGTTTATGAAACAAAAATTCGTGGTACAAAGCACACCACCATTGTCACAGAACTGTTGTAGAAGGTGATTACACAGAGCCAAGCCGTCGAACTGAACACACAAAGTCGAGACCCTCTTCCGCTGAGTCATCACACAAGTACACCACCGAGTTATCTCCTCTCTCTCTCTCTCTCTCTCTCTTCTCTATATTCCCCTCTCACAAAAGCCCTAGAGCACTGAGCATCTCCATCGTCCTCACACGGAAACCCCCTCTTTCCCAAATTGGTTTGTGCAAAACCCCATAATAGGGATGATAGAGAAGGTTGAGTAATGTTTATTGATTACGTCTAGTGATGCCCCATGGTGGAGTGAGCAGTGGTGGACAGTGGAGGAAGGCAAAGGGGTGAAAGAAGGGGGAGGCAAAGGGTAAAGAGAAAGTGAAGATGGTGGGAGGTGGGGCACGAGAGGCGATGAACACCGACAGTGATTAGAGATGAGAGAGATAAGCGAGAGAAAGGTGAATGATAGATTAGAATAATGATATTGTATATATACACATATATCTATATATAATTGTGTGCGGTTAATAAATAAATTATTAAATAAATAAATAAGTAAAATATTTAATTTTAATTTTGTTTTAAAGGAGTAAATTTGACATTTAATAAACGTTTTTTGCATGACATCAGCTAAATTGTTAGTTCTTTGACTGTTCTTTAACGGAATGGGTTAAAATTGTTACATGAATTTAATATTAGGAGAGGTCATTGTAATTATGTTTAAATTATATAACTTATGGTAATTTTATCAAACCTCGAGAAAGGTCACTGTAATTTACCCGAAAGTTTTAGGAAAGAAAAATAAGGTTGATCTCTTTTTTTTTTAAGTTTCTCTGCCTTAACTCTCTTTCTCTACTTTTTTTGGTTTTCCTTTCTACATCTCCATATGAACATCTTATAGCATCTGCAATTTGTCTTTTTCTTTATCTTTTTCAAAAAAAGAAAAGAAAAATTGTCTATTACATAATGCAATAAGCACAATAATCACGTATTTGTTGGGCAAATTAGGACCCACCTAACGTATTAGTCTCTTCCTCTCTCATTTGCCATTGACACCATTAATAAATGAGGGTCAATGACTAGGGATGAAGTCAGGAGCATAGTTGTCAAATCGAGATTCGTATCGTGAATCGAAATGACCTTGTACCGAATCGTGAATCGTAAAAATTCGGTCACTTTTTTAAAATTACTTAAAAATATATATTTACACATTTAGATGTTAAATATATCTTATGAATATGAAATATTTAGACTTAAATCAATAAAAATGTTATTTTGAATGATAATCACGTATTTTAATAGGTAAGAAGTTAACAAAATTCTTATGTAAGATCACTATCATAGTTTTTTTCTTTTTAGATATTTCTTATCAACCATTCTTAATAAAAATAATAGCCAAATAAACAAATTATCAATTTCCAAAATAACAATAATTAACAACGATATTGATATTTGGACAATAAGCATACATACTTTTCTAAGTAACAGTGAACAAATAATAAGAAAGAATTATTTAGAATATTTTATTGTAAAGCCTAAAACATTTTCAAAGGTATAACTGACCTCACATATGCAATATTCAATTATATTCAATTTAATAAAATAGCAATAGATAATTCATAGTGTAACTTTAATCTTAAACATCTTTAGAAGATATAGTATGATTTTTTAAAGGGGGAAAAAATGAGAAGAAATGTTAAAAATATGTTGGGTCTGACTGAATCTGATTGGATTTTATTGAAAACTTCATGATCACTAAAATAATAACAAATTATATATATATGTTGGTTATTTTGGTATTAAACACTATTAGAAGTTGTATTATGTCATTTTCACTAAAAACATGGAGAAAGAAATAGTTGAAAATATATCGGACACAATAATTTAAAAAATTAAATGAATCGTAAAAAGTGAATTGAATCGTGAATCAATTGTGAAATCGTGCGATTCATTAGAGATTTACTTCCAAAATAGATTCACCCATAAATTCGTATCGATTTTGCAAAAAATTCGAATCGAATCGTGAATCGAATCGCGAATCGTATGATTTTGATGACAGAGAGATTCACCTATAGATTCGTATCGATTTTGCAAAAATTATGAATCGAACCGCGAATCGTAAGATTCTGATAACAGAGGTCAGGAGTACAAAAGTAGCAATAGCACAGTGCCGCTGCAAAGGGTATTCAGCATTTGCAGGGGCCAGATCTAGAGACTCTGCATTTGTGGGGCCATGGAATTTTTGGAGGCCAACTTCTTTATTGTAGGGGGTTCTTCTCTAAAACAAGCATAAGTGATAATATCACTAGAGAGGTGAAACTTGCAAATAATTAGCAATGCAAAACCAAACACAAATGGAGCGGAAGAAATATATATACAGTAGAGAGCGAAAGTGAGGTAGAGAGAGAAAGTAAGAACCCAAAAATGAAAATGGTGGAAGGAAATGGTGGGATGAAAGGTAAGGCAAGCTTGAACAAGGAGAGAATGGCAGGAACACTCCCAAGGACCAAACTCAAGGTGATCTTTGAAGGTGGCCTTCCATGGATCTTCTGGGTTGCATGTTTAGAGAGAGAAATTAGAGAGAAAATGTGATATGGGTCTTCTTTTGTCATCATCCTTATCCCTTTCTCATCATCATCCAAAAAGTGAGCTAGTAGTACTTTTTATAGGCATCTATGAAGCACGGACACCTCTCCGAGGGCTCCGTACCAGTGTCGGACACGCGGTGGACACATGTCCGACACGCAACAGAGACTGTCCCCTTTTTTTTTTTTAATTTTTTTACATCCAGACACATTCTGGACACGTTTGGACACTTTGGGACACGTTTGGAGGTAATTTCATAATTTACAAAACTTTTTTTGGGGTCGATTTGTAAAAAAACAAAAATAGAGCAATGTCTGCCTCATTCAATTAGAACAGAAGAGAAAGGGAGAGAAAGAGAGGACTTGGTCACTTTTCAGTGGTCGCTCATCGTAGCTTATGAGTAGCTCGTAGCTCATAGCTCGTCGCTCGTCGTCCGTAGCTCGTCGCTCGTCACTTGTCGACGGTCCTTGTCGGTCGTCACTCGTCTCGTCATCACTCGTTAAGGTACGCTGCTCTTCTTCGTTCTTTGATCTTCTTCTTCTTCGTCCTTCTTCTCCGATCTCTCTCTCTCAGTCGCTCTCTCTCTCTCCCTCTCAGTCTGATTTTATTTGTTCTTTTATTTTTTTTTTCCTTTTATATACTGAGTGATGTTGATCCCCCTCTCTCACTTCAATTTTTTTTCTATTTTCTGTTTTTGTCTTCAATTTTTTTTTTTCTATTTTCTTTTTCTGATAATATATATAGATATATATTTGAACAAAAAAAATCTTTTTTTTCCTCTTTTCTTTTTTTTCTATTTTTTAGATATTATTATTTGCTTAAATAAATTATTTTTATTTATAGAAAAATTTTAATTTGTGAATAATATTTGATATTAAAATAAATAAATAATATTTATATTTTTTAATTGTACATATAATAAACAAATAAAATTATATATATTGAACGTGTCCCTAGCGTGTCGTGTCCCCTATTTTTTGAAAATTTGCGTTTTCCCGTGTCCATGTCCATGTTCGTGCATCCATTCTTGTCTCATTTACTCATCTGCCTTAACATCCTCTACTTAGTTACTCTTCTATCTTAAAAGAGTCTCCTCTTTATTTGTCTCACTTTGATCACATGTCATACCAGCACATCCAGTCCTTCATTTCTTCCCCTCTGCTTAATCCTTGATGGTCTACTACATGTTACGTGGGGTTGGAAGTTGGGTATGGGTGTCAGGTATAAGAAGCACGGACACGACACGGATACGACACGACACAGATACGACACGGACACGCCGACACGTTAATTCTCAAAAAA